TCTTTCTTTCTTGTTTTCCTAGATAGGGTTTCTCCCTGTAGCCCCAGCTGTCCTGAAACTCACTCTATAGACCAAACTGGACCTTGAACACAGAGATTTGTCTGTCTTTGCCTCCCGAGTACTGGGATTAAAGGTGTGTGTTACCATGGCTAGCAGTGCTGTCTTTCTTACTGACTCAGATGGACACAAGGAAATGTCAGGCTCTCCTAAGAGTAAAATATGGTATTTGATTATCTTTTCCACCTCTGGCAGACCTAATGATTTATGACTTGATAAATGGGAACATTTACCCTCACTCAAATGGCACAGCACAGGGCTTGAAATAAACCATGTCTGCTGTTCAGGCATAAGCTCTGGGATGTGCTCTGGAGTCAAAGCACTCTACGATAGCTTTGTGAACAACTGAGCTGGAGGGAAAGTCAGAGAGAACACACTATTTTGAAGTTAGTACTAATGCTATCTTGGGATAATAGCCATGATGTTGTGAGGATGACACTTATACTTTTGAAGATACATATTTAGCCGTTTATGAAGAAGCCAGTATAACGTCTAGATTTCACTCCTATGTGGTCCAGCAAAATAGTTACTGATCTAAACATCAATGATCACAAGTGCACTTAAGGTACTGATGTATGATTGACTAGAAATTAATTATCTTCTTTCCATTTCTGATAGCATGAACTCCATAAATAAAACCAGATAGGTCAAGGTCACTGATCCAACCCTAATCCTGGAATGGAAACAGATAGCTAGAAAATGCTCAGGGCCAAGGGCAAGTTACCCAAAGCCAAGCAAAGGGCAGTAGAGCAATAGAAAAGTAATCCACTTGCAGAACAGTTTTAGAGAGTCCACAGTAGTATGTGACTTAACAGTCTTGGTGTTTGGAGTCAGGGTTTGAAGCTAAACAAGAGGCTACATGTTTCTAGACAGATTAAAATGAAAAGCAAAGATACAATCAGCTGAACTAGTCTGACCATGACCTAACTCCATTGCAGAAATGTGCTTGGCCAAATACTAGGCATCATTCAAAGCTGACCTCAATGGAGACAGCTAGGCAACCAAGTCCTAGAGACCTGGATGGCTATCTCAAGCAATGCTGATGCTCCCTCCACACCTGGTCTTCCCTGCATACCAGGTTTGAGATACCAGAGGACTAGAAGAGATGAGCTAAGGGAAAGGCTTAGAACTGTGGGGAACTTCTGAGGAGAAGGACCAATGGTGGGAAATGTCTTGCCAAGAGACCAGAAGAAAACTATATGTATGGCCACTTTCTTTGGTGGGTATTTAGAGGCCACAGACTACTCAGAAAAAATAAAAACTGTGAAAATTAGGTCTACTTACCCATTCTGTAGGGCAGCTGTGGGGTCATAGGTCAGAGCCATGCCAGCCTGTATGGAAGAGGAGAAGAATAGGGAAAAAAAAGATATCTCAACATTTTTATTATAGTGCCAAAGTATTCAGTTTAAAAACTTTGTTTTCTTGATTTAAGGGCTTCCCTCCCTTCTACATGTTTCTTTACCCTTCTTGTCCCAATGGGACAAGTCTCACTACTTACAAACCAGAATTTACCAGTCTGAGATGGGAGTTTATATACTATTATTCAAATAGACCAAGAGATGATAGAGCTTGGGTGAGTTCTACCTATACTTCATAAATCTTCACTGACTAATGTGGTTGGCTGTAGCTCTCTTAGCAGTGACAGGAACAGCTATATATCCTACGATATGAATACAGGAAGGAGCCTGTAGCCTGGATTAAAGCATCAGTTCCTCAAGATGCATCCAACCTGAGAGAAAGGATACTAAGAAGTATTTATTTTTTAAAAATTCTATACTTCAGAGGTATGTGGGTTATGAGTTATAAAGAGTTCGTCTGATATATTGCCACTCCTACTAAGAATAGGAAAATAGGGAGATCGTCTACACAGGGTGGAACATTTTGGCCCGTGTGGCCAATGAAATCAAGTCTTATTCTGTTTTTCAGTATAAGGGTACTTTTAAAACATAAAATCAAACAAATGAAAAACTACATGTTTATAATTGGCGGTAGTTTCAGGAACTCAAATAAACTTCACTGTGGCACTCTCTAGCCAGGCTTCTTGGTCCCTTTATCTGCCACTGACTTTGATCCTCGTGATGACTCTATGAAATAGGCAGAAGCAATCTCTCTCTGTCCCATCAGTGAAGACAATGAAGATTGTTGAGGTCAGTGGCCATCTCAAGGTCACAAATCTATTGTTATCCTTTACCTAAGAGTCACCCAGGCCTCTTTTTCTCTGGACCCTTGTCTACTATAAAAGAAATGGAAGGCACTCTCCTGTGACTGTAAATCTGTCACTCTTCTTTCACAAAGGAAGTTTTCCAAGCACTCTAAGCTATTAGGAGGCACAGGCACATCCGGTGTGATAGGCACTCATTAACTAAAGAGCCAAATCTCTGCACTTACCCTGATACATGGAAATCAGAGACAATGTAACTTGGGGTACTCATCAATTATGTGGTATACACTCTGCCCCAAAATCTGTAAGAGAGGACCGTACCCCCAACTGACTCAGCGCCTCATCATGTCATTAGATGACATAGACATCTATCTATGTCGTAGTAACTCTCCCAGTAAGTCCCTTAGTCAAAAAAACAGTCCTTCTCAGTGTCTCTCTTGAATCCTGAAATCTGAGAACTTATACCCATGCCTTCTGATGAGGAATCTCTGCTGCTCCTTCTGTTATGACTTGGGGCTTCAGTGAAGCCTGGGTACCATCTCTACTGGGGTGAAGAGTCAACCCTGTGCTGTGTAGACAGATAACCTTGGGTGTCCCGGGACCTTCTGTGTGGTTAGCACTTGTAAACAGAAACGGAATGTAGAAAGGAATTTAGAGCAGCTCAGAGTATCTTTAGAGTGATACTTTGACTTTTATTTTAAAATTACTAACTGAATCCTAGCAATGTGGATTTTCTCTCTCTGATAGCCTGACATAATTACACAATTTGTAACCACTGGGGAAACCAGGTCTATACAGGAACTCCTGAAACATTTTTATAACTTGCCACGACTTCAGAATTACTTTAAAGAAATAAGAAATATAAGTGAATGAGCTTCTAGGATGTATCAAGGTACAAGAAGAAAAGCATAAAAAATATTAAAGAAATGGAGGAGCATTTGTGTTTGAGTTTTTCACTTGTCTACATGGCTTAATCCAGTTTCCCCATCCAATTCTTTAGAGCTACCATGTAACAGAAAGAAGCTACCTCCCGTGCCGTGGGCCTTCAAGCTTGCATTTCTCATGCTAGGCCATCCTCTTCATGTTCTAATTCGGATTGTAATGAGGAACTAAAGCACAATGCCTTGGATGATCAGGAATGGCGTGATGGGGGGAGAAGTGAGATTTGCGAATAGACAGAGATATCTGTTACAAGTCAGCAGAGGTGCCTGGGGTGTCTCTACTGAGGAAGTCACCAGGCACCTCAAGTTCTCAGTGGGGTAGGGGGCATGTCCTGGGAGATAGACACACATTAGAACATTAGTTAACGTGACTAACAATTTGCCTTGCCCTCCTCCATGGGAAACGGAAGAGTACACCTGGAATAGCTAGCCTTTGTACGGAGGGGTACCTGGGACAAAAGAGGTATCACCTACTTCAGGAGTTTACTTCTGAGTACTTCAGGCTGCAAGACAGAGTCCCTGGGTCACATGCAGCTGAAACAGGGTAGGTAGCAAAGGAAGGCAAGGGTTAAACAAAGGGATTTCAGTTATTTTAGCAGAAGAGTTGGCTGGGCATCACTGTGCAAACACAGTGCTTGACTGCACCTGGGGCTTGCCATGCGCGTGACAGATCGCTGAGTTATAATGCTAATACGCCTTCAATGCAGATTCTACATTCAATCTCCCTTTGTCTCTTCCCACAAAGATGATGAAGAAATTGATTTTGCTGCCCTGTCTAGCCCCCTTTAGACAAATCCAGAGGCATGAAATTACTATTGTGTAATCACCAAATTTGATGGCATGTTGACAAACTCCAGAGTCACAGGGAAAAAAAAATAACATAAAATATCTTGGAACGAAATAAACTGTCACACCAGATGTGTGAGACAGTGACACTTAATCCTGTTGTTGACTTTCAAAAGGGCTTGTTACATTCACAAGAGCTGTCTATGTTTCCAGTTGATGTTGTTTGTATGCCAGTGGCATAAGTAATTTACTTTAAACAAAACCAGGCACTTATATCTCTTAACAACAGCTAAGCTTTGCTTAATATTTTAGGCATAATGGGGCATTTCTAGGCCTCCTGGGTAAAAAAAAAAAAAAATGATGAGTAGTAAATACTTTAGAAAAACCAAACTCTTTATTGGACAAAATATTATTGTTGTTTTAGAAAATTTTGCTATGAGGTTCAGGTTGGCCCAGAACTTGTGATTCTCCTGCCTCAGGCATACACTACCAGGCCAGAAATGAAGGTAACTTTATTTTTAATAAAATTAAAGATTCTCTGAAACAGGCAAGAAGAATGAGCTAGGAGCTGGATATTAGCTAGTCATATCTAAGCAATTTAGTGGATTATATCAACAGGTTATAATTACAGCCAGTGTCCATAGCATATACATTAGGAGGAGGCATGAGTCTAAAACACTCATTCTTACATGCATAGAGAGACTCCATGACTTTCACAAAGCCAAGAAGATGGCTGGCAGAATAGTGTTCTTTCTTCTTTCTTGACACATGGCGGGTGTGCCTAACCAGAGGCATCATTCAAGAGGAAGTCCTGAGAACTGCTGGATTGCTGTGACCAGGTTTAAAAACACTTAGGAGATGTGTCCTACATGTACCCCTTTAGAAAATTCCACGCTGTAGATTAGATAAATAGATGTTCAAGAAATTAGGGAGGAAATCAGAGACTTTGAGGGAATTCTGGATTTGTACCTCACATAACCTCAATTTACAAATGAAATTTGAGTGTATTCCTCAGGGTCCTGATTTTATTAACAAAACTTCCTTTAAAGAAATCTGAAGTGGACTCAGCTCTCAGCTGAACCTGGAAAACCCTTGGCTAATAGCAGACACAGGTGGGGTTAGAGGTGATCACTGGGAGTGGAGACTTTCAGCACCAGACAGAAGCCAACAGCCTGCCTGAGGTGAGTTGTGGTTTTGGCTCCGGAGGAGAGAAAGAGGGAGACCAGCAAGCTCTCCTGTACTGGAAGATGAGCTAAGCGTCACATGGATTGCTTCAAGAGGGCTGTCAGGAATCAGGTGAAAGCAACATTTCAGATTTATCACTTTAAAGTAGCAAATGCAGCCAGAGAGCCAAGAGAAGTGAGTTCTTTATGTTTGATAGAATCAAACCGAGAGGTGCTATAAAGCTATTGTTTAGGCGTGGCGTCATTCCTGAATTTCTGCTTCTTGGCTTCTTCTAAAAACTTTCCTGCCAGAAGGTGTCTGTTTTTTTTTTTTTTATAGCAACAGAGAAGGACAAGACAAAACAAAAAGATCACAAGTTGGAAATCTGATAATGTCTAAGCCTTTCCAGGAAGAACTCAGTGGCTAAATGAAACAGGAAAAGCAAACACACACACACACACATACACACACACACATATATATATATATAGATAGATATATATATATATATAGATAGAGAGTGTTTTTTGCCTGTTCCATGTGCACATAGAGGTCAGAAGACATATCATATCTTCTGGAACTGGAGTTCCAGACAATTATGAGTCATTGTACAGGTAGATGGAACCCAGGTCCTCTGCATGAGCAGCCAGTTCTCTTAACTGTGAAGCTGTCTCTCCAGTTCCTGACTTGTACTGTCTTAAATTGTGATTTAAAATAAATACTTCTTCCTCTAAGTTGCTTTTTTTTGGTAGGAATTTAGTCACAACAATGAACGAAGCAGCCTGTGCAGGGAGTTTGTTTTTTAATCTCAATCTAAATGTTGGAATGCCACGGATTCTAAGAAACCATTTTGGTTTTCTCACATCTCAATATCTGTGAAATTAGGATTCCACTAATAACTGCCAGCATTTCATAGTCTGTCGAGTCATGTCTCTCTTTTTAGTGGAGTTTAAAGGAATATAATAGTTCATCTCTAACCAATGGTGTTTTACAGTCAATGGTGCAGCAAATATATTGTCAAAACCACTGTGACATGATGCCCAACCATGAAAAATACAGAATTCTGAGGCTGCAGTGGGCAAGCCTGAGGAGCTCACAGAGCAAAGGTGGCTGGGAGATTGATCCAGATTCTTCTAGGTTCTTCTGGGTTTAGTTAATGCTGTCTAGAAGCTACATGTGCTTAGCCATTTATGGGGCTGATCTTGAGGTCTGTGACAACCTGGGATTGCCAGGACATGCCAGTGATGCCATGAATAGCTCAGTTGATTGATGTCTCACT